TTGTTATTATTATTATTTATGTAATTATTCATTATTATTATTATTATTATTATTATTATTATTATTATTATTTCCATTCTATTTTTTGTTATCGTCCAAAATATTCCTTCTATAATTATCTTGATGATCTTATTGTTATTCTTTCTTTTTTGTCTTTTATTATTATTAGCAGTAGTGCTAGTAGTCGTAGGCCTTCTCTTGCTATTATTATTTCTCCTATACTATTATTATTATTTATATTTCTTTTCTTGTTTTTCTTTTATTATTTGTTACAATTATTTATCAAATGCATTATCCTGGCAAAGTATATTTTCGTTAAAAGGAAGACGTATTTTCTAACCCAGGCTAGTTTGGTCTTTTAAGAGACGCGATCCTGAGAAAATTGTGACAAAGTCTCGTTAATGATTTTAATGTTTCCATTTTATCCTTTCTGGAAAATTTTTTTTTTTCGTAACACTGCATTTCCATGTAATATATTGTGTATATATATATATATATATATATATATATATATATATATATATATATATATATATATATATATATATATATATATATATATATATATATATATATATATATATATATATATAATAAATAACAGTAAGATATATAATCCGGTGTTCTTATAAATATTTTATTTTTACAAAATAGTGCTCAATGTAAATTTACAGAGCATTAATAGTGTGTATATATATATATATATATATATATATATATATATATTATATATATATATATATATATATATATATATATATATATATATATATATATATATATATATATATATATATGTGTGTGTGTGTGTGTGTGTGTAGTTGGGTAGCAACCTTAATTTTAAACATCTTTCGTTAAATATGGCAAACAAGGAAGACTAATTTTTTTTTCCCCAGCGTTCTTGCGTATTTCCGTTTGGTAGGAGTAAGGGGGTACAAAATTTTTCCATAATGTCCATTGTCCCATGCGCTTTCGACCGCTTCTTTAACCATTTTCAAGGACTTTTGTTTTAGGTGTTGTTAGATTCTCTTCATGTTTTGACTGATTAAGTTATATTTGTGTTGTTTTGAATAGGGGCGTTTATTTTGAGTTCTGGCCTGTTGAGCGCGGTTCGAATTTGAGTAATTGTCTTTCTAATTTTTTAAAAAAGTTTTTACTCTACCTTCCCATTGTTTAAGAAGGGTAGGTTGATAGTAGGAGGGAGATGCTTAATATACAGTGTCAATCTTACAGAGAGATGTATCCGGTAATGGGATTTATATAGAATTTAGTGATTTCGACCAGAATTTTTCTTAAGGCTTCTTGTAAAATGTGAGTATATATATAATAGCTGGCCACGCGTACTCGAGGCAATTCGATACAGACGCTCGATCAGGCACATATGTGTTTTCTCAGCTATGCTGAGCATACATTAGAGAGCGCATTATCAACAATTTGGACGATCAAACCCTCGGCCACGATGACTTGTGGCTTCGTACGAGAACAGCTATCGACGGCCTTAAAGAGTCCCGTCTGCCGAATTTCACTCTCAAGGCTTGGGTCAACCCGTGGCATGATTTTTCAGGCATTTTCTGGGATCGACCTCGATCCATTCCGATAACCTCAGGAAGCCACCTTCCTGACAAATCGACCATGATGATATTCGAACCCGAGTCTCATGGTCAGAAACCGAATGTTCTAACAACTCGGCCATATATATATATATATATATATATATATATATATATATATATATATAATCATTTTTTAAAAAATATGATTCCATCGCTACATAAGTGTTCTCATGTTTCAAAACCAAAAGCTAAAGCCTTAAAAGCACTTAGTTCTGTATCATTCTAAGAACTAAGTGCTTTAATTTAATTACTGTAAATGAAATTGAATTTTTTTTTTTTTTAACTTCTGTTTTATGTAGCGATGGAATCATATGTTTTAAAAAATATAATATAGGCTCTACTGTTGTATCAAGCACTGTTTTTTTTTTTTTAAATAAAAACAAAAATACTTAAGAACTTTGGATTATTAACCTAACGGTTCTTTCCTATTTTTCTATATACTTACACACACAGGCACGCGCGAGCACACACACACACATATATATCTATATATATCTATATAAATATATATATATATATCATGGCCGAATGGTTAGAACGTTCGCTTTCTGACCATTTATATATATATATATATATATATATATATATATATATATATATATATATATATATATATATATATGAAGAAATATGAAGGAAGTGAAGAAATATAGTGTTAAGTTGTGCCATATTTATTAGATAAAGTGCTCAATATCAGAGATAGAGCATATGTAAAAATAAATATAAAAGTGAACATTGAAGTCAACAATCAGAGGCGACAGGCCGCCTGACGATTGCGCCTAGCATGAAACAGCCTGTTGCCTCTGATTCTTGACTTCAATGTTCACTTTTATATTTATATTTATATATGTGTGTGTGTGTGTGTGTGTGTGGCAAATTTTACATTTGTATTAATTATATATTATTCAAATTATTTATTTAATTTGAATTATTTATCATATATATTTACATTTAATCGGATATAAAACGATTATTATAATATAACCGAGCATAAATGAGTTGTTTTCTTTTACAATGACGATAATCCTGTGCAAGACCCGAGGACGACTCGAATTGAGCAAGAAGGTTGCAGAATAAAAGGCACGGTTTATGCGGATATCTGTGGAAGATAAACGGTTATTCCTAGACTTGGACAGGTTCAGATAGTCGTGATCGGGAAAGCTTCCTCTTCGGAATCGGTTTCACAAGGCAACGGTTCGTGGGAAGAAGCGACTCAAGTGAAGCTTACATCTTACCAAACGAAATCAAAGGGAATTATTTTGTTTCGACACAATGTGTGTAACTTGGCGGCTCTTAGTCTTGGATGCTAGGCCTGGTGGAAATAATAAGTGTAGTTCTTCTGAACATTTTCCATGGAAATATAGATACAGCAGCAAGAGACATGCGACGTCTCGTGGGTGAGAAAGGAGTTGTAAGGTAGAAAATAATTCGTTACCCTCAAGGACACGGGCATGCTTTTGATATTTTTGGACGCTTTTTAAGACTGGATACTGGCCTGTTTCTATCCATATAAGGCAGCAGTACTCCATTTTTGGCTTGATCTGGCTCTTATAAAGGTAGAGCAAAGCAGGAGAAGTTGGGTACTCGCTGGAGCTGTACATTCATTGTATTAATATCAGTTTACCAATTTACGGTATTTTTCAACCTCGGGCTAGTTTCATCCATTCGGCGTGAAACCGTGACATGGCCTCAGCGGATGAGATGTTCCAAAGTTCTGTTAACGATTGTAATATGCCGATTTCATCTTCCTGGCAAATTATGTGTGGTGGTGGGTGGCAACATTGCATTTTTATAATTTTTTTTTTTCATATATTAATAATTTATATTTGCGTTTCATTCGTTAGTCTTGTGAACAGGAGTAAAGGTTTATCCATTGTTTCCTTGTGGCAGTAATTCTCAACCTTCAAAGCCGCGAAATATTGTCACGGCATATATATATATATATATATATATATATATATATATATATATATATATATATATATATATATATATATATATATATGTGTGTGTGTAAATAGTATTGGTACAACTTTAGTATTTGAATAAATGAATAAGTATTAAACTTTTTATCTAACATTAGCTAAAAAAGGGTTTTATCAGTTCTATTGCAATTTTTTATGCAAATTAGGCTTCTCCGCTCTAGATAACACTTGTGTTTGAACACGGGTCGCCAGAGAGCAAGCACAGTCGACTTCATCTTGAAATAATTAGATCACGTGATAGATAAAGCAATATATATATATATATATATATATATATATATATATATATATATATATATATATATATATATATATATATATATATATATATATATATATATGAATGAGAATTAGCGGCATCTGACTGAGTATTGTTTGAAGGCGTTACTATTATTGTATCTGGGATTTACAAAGTCTCTCCTACAAACGAGCATTACAAAAATCAGTTTTATTGTAATTTTCTACTTCTTATTTATGTGAATTAGGCTTTTCAACCCTAAATAATATCAAAAATAAGAAGAGAGAAAGTCTACGCTCAACAGAAGAAGAAATGAGAGACCGCTTATTGCAGATTCGAGAAAAAATTTTAAAAATCTCGAAAAAACACTAATCATAGATTTCACACCAAAAAATCTACACAAATATTTAAACAGAAACATTGAAATCAAGTTCATATCTGTGTGTATTTTATTTTTAAATCTATGGTTTTATTTCATAACATTTAAATGTATACCCTTTAAAAATTTTGCTAAGTGTGCCTTGATATTTACATTTGCTCCTAGGTGTGCCATTGCTTAAAAGGGCTGAGAAACATTGACTTATGCTATTGGGTTTCCGGTTACTTTAACTAAATCCTTCTCTTTCTCTTTCACGATCAGTAACCCTTGCGTCTTAATAGCATTATCGCGTTGCTTAGATTGAAGTGATTAAAAATAAATAAATCTTACTAATTAACCGATAGCTGGGGAGAAATGGTTGATTTTTCGACCTCAGGCTAGTTTCATCCATTCGGCGTGAACCGTGACATGGCCTCAGCGGATGAGATGTTTCAAAGTTCTGTTAATGATTGTAATATGCCCAGTTCATCTTTCTGGGTTTTTTTTGTTTGTTTGTTTTTTGTTTTTTTGTTTCTTGTTCTTTTTTTTTTTTTGTGGTGTTCGCTGGCAATACTGCAATTTTTCATATATTAATAATTTATATTTGCGCTTCATTCGCTAGTTTGTGAACAGGATTAAAGGTTTATCTATTGTTTCCTTATGGCAGTAATTCTCAAGCTCCGTGCCGCGAAATATTGTCACGGCAAGGGTATTTGCGCATAAGTCAATATAACTAACCCAACTGAAATTAGAACTCGGTTCTACGATTTCCAATTCCAAATCGCTATACCAACTATACATCCAAGCTTACGGCACTTGGTATTTCCAAGTGGTCACCCATCTAGTTACTAAGCAGGCTCGACATTGCTTAACTTCTGTGATCGTATGTGAAGCATTTTGAAGCATGAAAACCCGATCTTATTGTAATAGATAAGGAAAGTACCAAGTGTCAAATTATTGATTTTGTTATTCGATACGGCACAAGAATGGACTCTAAAGAAACAGAAACGATTGAAAAATAACAGGATTTGGCTAGGGAACAGAAGAGGCTATGGAATGTGTCTTCGGAAGTAATTCCTGTAGTTATGGGTGCACCTGGAACACTACATAGAAGCTTGAAAGAAAATTGGAATTCTGACGAAAATCGTGTAACTCCATAAAATTGCCTACCTTAATTCTGCGAGGATTTTCCGAGTAGTTCTTGAGTTGTGGAGCCTTGAGCCTTGTTGACACCATGTCTCAAGAACAGAATTTCCATTCACTACGTCAATGGGCGACACAAACATGATAAATAAATAAATAATAATAATAATAATAAATAAAATGACTGACATAGGTCTTCCAATCTTTGTCGAGACACGAAAAATTATAAGTCTTTGTACAAACCTCACTTGTCTTGAGAAAAACGGCTCTGCTTTTAACCAACTCGTCAAATCGAATAAAACGTAGCCGGCGTAAATGACCGGCAACTGATATTTGTTTGATATGTTTTGTAGATGTTTTATATTTGTATACAATATTTAAACATCTTGGAGAAGACAGACATACTGTCGAAATATTGTAGAACATTGTTAAACACTGTGTCTTTTCTGTCCTGTTCTTTTCATTAATAAGAATCTATCTTACATATCTACAAGACTAGCATTCGTCCATGATTCGAATATTGCCGTCACATATGGTCCTGCTATTTATCTAGAGCTCCTTGATAAACTCCAAAAAAGAATCATCACCGATGAAAACATTGATCGTGTTCACCACATGGTGATGGTTAAAAAGCGATTGACTATAAATCAAATTGCCAATACTATTAGCAGATCCCGTGAGAGAGTTGAGAATATTCTGTACAATGAACTTGACATAACGAAGGTTTCTGCTCGGTTGGTGTCACGTCTTCTGACACCTGAATAAAAGCACATCAGTTTGATCACATCACGGGAAAATCCGAAATAGTTTAAGGTAAATCCAGTTGGTTTTCTTGAACATTTCTTAATCCAGGATAAGTGTTGAGTTTAGTATTTTAAGCCAGAAACAAAGAGATAATCCCTGCAGTGGAAACACTCCACCTCGCTTGTCTCAAAGAACGCCAAGATCGTTTCATCTGTAGCGAAGGTGATGGCCTCAGTTTTTGGTGATGCAAAAGATATTGTGTTTATTGACTATCTTCAAAATGGCCATACCGTCAATAGCGAGTACTATGTCAACTTACTGAGGCAGTTCCGAAAGGTTATCAAGACCAAATGTCCAGGTAAACTAACGAAAGCGGTCTTGTTTTATTAGGACAATGCTCCAGCACACAAGTCCTTGGTTTCAATAGCAGTTCTGTGTGACTGTGGCTTAGAACAGGTTCGTCACACTCCCTAATCTCCTGGTTGTTTGAGAACCAGTATCACAGTGATGATGACGACGTATCTTCTGTTGATGACTTTTTTGATCAAGAGGATGAAGTCTTCTTTGAAGATTCAGATCTCAGTTTACCTGGAAAGAGACAAAGCGGTAAGAAGAGTTGAAATTAATGCATGCAAGATTTCACAGCTCTAGCATCTCTCCTTCATAGTCAGCCTATGAACTTTTCATCCCCACCCTTGTACCTGCAAAGAAACAATGCAGTTATTAAAAAGAAGTGTTGAAATGCATTCAAGATTTCATATCTCTATGAACGTTTCAGTCCACCATCATAACATAAGTTTAGGTTAGTACGCCACACAGATATATACATTGAAGAATATGTTTTGACAATTTTCCAAATAAGGAATCCATGTTTGCCTAGAAAATCAGCATTTGAAATACTTACTTTTGTTGTGATTCGAACACCGGCTCCTGGCACTGATAGAGAATATGTTCAAGCGTGAAATAGGCGCGGTATATTTATTAGGTGACGGCAAAAATTTCTCAGTGTCAACTTTGAAAAAAAATTGAATATACTGCAGTAAAACTTTTTCGTCCTCTTCTTCTTCTTCTTCTTTGTCCCATCAGTATGTGGGATATCATGGCTCTCCACAGCTTCTTGTCTTTTGTAGCTCTATGTTTTTTTCGCTATTTCTCCTAAACCCTATTTTGTAATCTATTTCAACAAGATTCTTAGGTCACCTTTCCTCTGTCCTTTCGATTTTCAGTATGTCCCGTGAGTGTCAAATTCTCTATGCTATCTTTCCTCAGGATGATCCCTAGAAATCTTAATTCTCTCTTTCCAATTCTATGTGTCCTTTTTTATTCCATTTCCCTTAAAACCTCGTTTCTCACATATACAGTCCATAACATTCCCAGCATCCTTCTGTAGAGCAAAATTTTTGTTGCCTCAAGTCTCTTTTTCATCTGTGAGGAGATTTTCCAACATTGACTGCCATATACGAGGAGTGATATTACATAACAGTACAGTTCTGTTTTCTCTGTTTATAACGAGCAGGTTTCTAATACTTTGTTTAGCTTTTGGAAGACATGTTTGTTGCTATTCCAATGCGCTTTCAGATTTCGTTGCCACATTCTCCGTCCTCCCTTAAAATACTTTCCAGATATTTAAATGTTTGTACCTGTTGTGATTATTACATCTTCAATTCGGTAGTTTACATCTTGGGTTATTCCTCTTGTGGACAACTATAGTCCTTTCTTCTCGCTTTCTTTTATTACTTTCTCGAGAAGTTCCTGCAGTTTCCTTTCCGTGTTTGCTATCAACACTGAGTCATCTGCATATCTTATGTTGTTAGCATTGTGCTTATCGGTAATAAATCCTGGTAGCATTTCCAGTTTTCTCTGTATTGCTTTGCCGTAAACGTTGAAACGAGAAAACGTATCCTTGTCTTACAACCGTATCTATTTTTGCTTCTTTTTTAAAAAAAAAAAAAAAGAAAGGGAATAAACATTGAAAACTTTTACACCGTTTCTATTTTTTATTTACGGTGAGGTTTACCCTGTACAAGACCCGAGAGACACTCAAGGTAGAGGTTTACAGGGTAAGAGGTACAGTTTATGTACATGGGAAACATGGACTGAAAATCTGAGCAACGACGAAGGTTTTGAGAGAATGGATACAAAAACGACACTTATACTTAACATCAGTACGAGAGTTGAAATTTCTAGCGCACATAATGAGGAAAGAAGGCTTGGAAAATTTGACACACACAGGACATATGGAAAAGAGTGACAGAGAAAAACAACGCATAACCTACCCAGAAAGCTTTTGTTTACAGTGAGGTTCACCCTGTACAAGGCTCGGGTGCCGCTCGAGGTAGAGGCTTACAAAGTGCGACACACAGTTTAATAGAACAGACGTGGAAGATAACGCTTAACCCTAGACTTGAACAGGTTAAGATTGTAGTCATCGGGGAAGCAACCACTTGGGAGCCGTTTCAACAGAGTTGTGGATCATGGGAAGAAGCTGTTCGAGTGGAACAATGGAATACGAAGGGAATGAAGGTAGTTCGCTACAATGCGCCTCGCATGGTGAGTCTTAGCCGTGAAGGTTAGAAGTGTTTGATCTAAGGAATGTAGTTCATCTGAGCACTTTCCACGGAAATAGTGGTAGAGCCGTGTGGGGCTTGTGATGTTTCGTCTATGAGTGTTGTTAGATGGTGTTATGGTCCAGGTTAGGATCAAGAAAGAATAACACGAACCCAAGAGAAGAAATAACGAAGGTATATTACACGAAATAATAATACAAGATGTGGAAGGTGTTAGTATGACTGTCAGTCTGGTTTGGAGTGAACTACTATCGGCTCGACTCGATTCGATATTTACTTGCCCCTACGAGGGAAAGATGTGGCACAAGGCCGAGTTTTATTTGGGTTTTCCGAGCCCGTAGGCTCGGCCAAAAAATGCCCGTAGAAACTGTAAAAACAAAATCGGGTTGGTCTACCGCCCCGAACGAGATTCTGCCCTTCGGCGGAGCCTCGTCCGGGTTCCCCTCTGCTCAGAGGCAGAGAGTTCGACCGTCTAGCCGAGAAGCTCGACTCAATTCGACCCTCTCTCTTGAGAGGCGTAGTATACCTAGTGTTAGGAAGAGTTCATAGGTAGTTATAGGTAAGGACCAATGACAGATAGGAAAATAATTTCTCACCCACAAGGACGCTTTGGGACCCTATCGAGACTGGAAAGTTAGGACTGGGTAGCTCCTGTCCGGATATGGCAGCAGTAGTTCATTTTCGACCTGATCTAGCTCTTCCACAGGTAGAGGATAGCACAAGGGGTCAGATAGAAACGTTGGACACTTTTACGCTAATGTAATATTTTTCAAAGGGAAACTAAAAATAGTATCTTCATACGAAAACAAAACAGAAGTTGTGTCGTCCGCTTTCAAGGCGACACACACTGACAGCAATTTTTTTTTTTTTTGTTATCTTAATCTATTCCTTTGACTTCCTGCTTGTCCGCGTGACCTGTTCTTCGCGAGTGCAATGGAAGGCTTATCTCAGAAGTAGCGACACGTGGCCAGGGCGGAATGAAACCGGAAATGCTCGCTTGTCACCTAACTTGAGGTTTGATTATGAGGGCCAATCACGAGTTATCTTTGTTAACTTCTTGACTTACTACTTACATCATCCGCTTGTCTCTCCATTCAAACGCTTGACTAATGTGACAAGAAGACGCGAGAAGACTTAAGAAGACGCTGATCGCACAATGTAACCCTCACCATTCAAAGTCCTTATCAAAATACACCTCATCAGTCGAAGAAGAAAAAAAATTAAATTAGCTATTTCTATAATGCACACCTTCGGTAACCCGGTAACAACGAACTCTCAAGGTGATTTTCTAAGCGTAAGTTAGATGTGACACACAGCCGAAAGAATGGGGCACCCAGTGAGGATCAAATTCACTACTCAGACGTAATTGTCATGGCGAGACAAACTTGCTAACCATTACACGACGTCGACTTGCCCAACAACGAATTTTTATTATATA